TGTGTTTCTTATTTAATGAGACGGTTGGTTACATCTACAGTTGTTGTGAGCTATCTTCTGAATGCTGGTTACTAAACATGGGTCCTCTGAAACAACTATTACTGCTCTTAACTGGTGAGTATCTCTCTAGCTCCATGGTACACACTTTAAATATATCATATATTTGTTAAATATACACCAATACAGCTATTATTTAAAAATAAAACATTTGGAACAAGTATTTCATGATAATGAGAATATTAAATGAATGACTTTTATTTAAAAATAATACTTCATAGTTAAATACTTCAAGAATGCAGATAAATATATAAAACAAAATATAATAAAAAATATAAGGACCCATAAAGCAACTTTATCAAATCTTAATTTTGCATTTCAGATGGATATGTGTGTGGGTGTGGATGTGTTTTAAATAAATGAATCTCATAGATACAGCCCTTTCCTACCTTTTTGTTATTTGTTTTTGAGATTATAATATAATTATAACTTTTTTTCCTTTCCCTTTCCCCCTTCAAATCTTTCTATATACACCTACTGTCCTTTCTCAAAGGACTCTTTTTCATTAATTGTTCTTATATGCATATATATATATATATATATATATGTATTTGAAAGTTTATCCTTCTTTGTTCAATATTACCCATATATACATTTTCACAGATTAATATTTGGTATTGGATAACTACTGGATGGATATGTTCTTCCCTACGAAAGACCATTTCTTCTTCTCTTAGCATTACTTAGTTGCCTGTAGTACTGTGTGTGTTTGTTGTGGTGTGTGTGTGTGTGTGTGTGTGTGTGTGTGTGTGTGTGTGTGTGTGTAGAGTTGAGGCATCATGGAATGTTGCCCATCCACTTTGACATATTCATTGTTGTCCTTGCTCAACTCATGTTTAGGTAGTGATGATGGCAAGATTAAATGGGCATAGCTTCTCATGTTATTAAGAGATAATCTCACAGCAAACTCCATGGCTTTCTGACTTTTATAATCTTTCTTTCCCCTCTTCTACAATATTCCCTGACTTTTAGGTGCTGGAGTGTTTTGTAGATGAGCCCATTGAAATCATTGATGATAAAGTATAATTTTTTCATTCTTTAATTTAATTATGAAGAAACAGGGGTAACAGTCTCTTTTTATACCATTGTATTCATGTGTCTTTCTTGAGAAGGTCTAAAAAATGTTGGCATACAAGTACATTTTAAAATTTAAGCTGTAAAGTAAAGGATAACAGTGCTATGATCCACAGACCTAGAGAGGTTGGTAACAAGGAGAGCTCAAGGGGGACACTCAGATCTCCCTGGGAAGGGGAGAAAGAAGAATTTTTTTTTTTTGATTTGTGAAAATATACTGGAATGGAAAAAATGATTTACATGCATTAACACCCAAGCAGATGCCTTCCAATCATGAATTGGTTGAGTTTACAAATCCAAATCAGACATTTAAGAAAAGCAAAACAAAACAAAAAAAACCCAAAACCCTAATATAACCACAAAGTATAGAAAAGGGTTGTAAGTCTTACACAGCCAGTAGAAAACAATCATTCAACAGAAAATAGTATTAAGACATTCCACAGAAAATGTAGTATTTGGAAATAGGAAAATATGGCATTAACTGCAAATTACATATAGCAGAAGGTGCAAATTAAAACTGTCATAACACACTTCACTTAACAGCCTGGCAAAATCAAATTTTTAACAAACAAAAAAGTGTCAGCAAAGGTATAGGAAGGGGTGCTATACAACATCCAAGAAGGAACCAAACGCTATTGGCCTTTGTAAACATATATGGACTCCAAAGTAGCAAATCCAACCCAGGGATGGGTTTAATATCTATCTGCATATAGAAGCTAATATGTACAAGATAGTCATCTCATTCTATATTTCAAAGGAGAGAAGGGACTGATTCAGTTAACTGAAGGCCAAAAAATAACACTACATAGATAAGGACTATGAATGAGGAAGCTCGTCTTTATTTTCTAATATATTCCACTTTCTACACTTAGAAGTACTAAAGGACTTATTCGCCAATAATGTATAAGATTTAGTTTCAATGTTGAGGGGAAGTAGTCTCACTATGTAGCCAAGGTTGCCCATGGCCTTACACTCCTGAGTGCTAAATGTAGCCCTTAGTAACTATGCCTCTCAATCCCCCATACCTCTGCTTCCCCCTACCCCCAGACAGAGAGGTTCTCACTATGTAGACCAGGCTGACCTGGAACTCAAGAGATCATCGGGCCTCTGCTTCCTGAAGGCTATGATTAAAGATGTGTGATACCACACTTGGCTTCAAGAATTCCTTAACAGCTAAAGAGCACCCCAGAATATGTCAATTGTTTAACAAGTTATAACCATGTTTGCTTCCTGCTGAATTGCTGTTTCTAACCTATTACTACTTCTTTCATTTTTTAAAATTCTCCAGCATCTTGAGACAATGAATTCCTCACTGACCTCAGTTTTCTGGTAACACTACCTACTACACATTACAGCCGTCACATTCCATAAATATTTCCCCCTCATCTCCATTAAGTGTTAATTAATGGTTATTTTGAAGTTATTTAAAAGTATATTTCCAAATATATGGAAGGACATCCCTAGGCCTATGCAAGAAGGCATTGTGTATAATTTGAACTGACTGATACTTATTCAGACTGAAGTTGAAGACACAGAAAATAATTTCTTAAATAAAAGAGTATCTTATAAATTCAGAGTCCACATAATGTCTGTTAGATCTTTCAATGATATTTGTCCAAATGTTCCTGATTTTGCTCAAGACAGGCATGTTAAAAATCCAAGCTTTCTCTTTGTAGTTTGATTAACCTTTGCTTTTTATTTATGGTGGTCATGTTATTAGTTACATACAAATAAAAATATTCAGATCCTTTTAATGAAATCAGTCTTTGAACATTGTCATTTTTTCTTACTTTTTTGGTAAATCATTTCTGTTGTTTCTTCTTGAACTTTTCCTTGTATGATTTCTTTGGTTAATATCTCAATAGCATGGGCTTCTCTCACCATCCTTTAATCTCAGTCTTTTTGTATCATTATCTTTCTTTCTCATTTATTTACTTTTTATTTATTTTTGAGATGGAGTTGCTCTCTGTACCCCAAGCTAATCTGAAACAGCAATCTTCTCTTCACCTCCCAAGGGATCCAATTCCAGATATGTTCCACACCAACCTAGTCCTTCAACTACAGTAATCAACCTATTCAAACCATTTTGGAATTACTGATACACTTACTTTATGTCTACCACTCTACCTCACAACTTCCCACGGGCTACTTCTATGCTCATTGTCTTTGTTGGCTGTCTTATTTTGATTACCGGTTGTTTCTATAGCTACCTTCTCTAATGATTCTAGCATATGGCAGGGTCTCATGTGGCCCAGTTTGGGCTTGAACAGTCCTAATTTTCCTACATCCACCTTCCCAGTGCTGGGATTACACAGTCATACAAAGACAGGTAACTTTTTTCTCATTAAAACGGTTACTTAACCTTATAAAATGGAAGGGCTGGTGAAGGCATTATGTTGACAATCTGTTTCAAATTTCCTTGCTATCTGGTAGGCCAGCACCTGGGAAGTTACAGCAGGACTACGAGACTTAGGCTAGCCTGGGCCACATGAGGCCCTATCCCAAACAAAACTTTACTTCCCTCCTGAACACTACCACATGCTTCATTTAAGGTAACACAACACATTTTTCTATTCTTTAAGAGTATACTGGCTTTATTCTAGAGGTTTGTGAATCAATCAAAAATTTATATATATTCACACAAAATTTACTCTAAACATTTAAAATTTAACTCATATAACACTGAACAAATTATTTTATAGCAATAAGATTTTCTAGTTTTACCCAGTGGCAGGTCTGTAATCCCAGCTATCTGAGAGGCTAATATATGGGGACCATGAGTTCAAGGCCTACCTAGGCAATTTAGCAAGACCATGTCTCAGGGAAAAAGTGGCAGAACACGTGCTTGGCAGGCTTACAGCTCTGAGCTCAAGCCAGTGTGGCAGCACAGACTTCTAATCCAGCACTCAATGGATGGAGCAGGAGGATTGCCACCAGGTTAAGAGAGACCCTGTCTCAAAACAAAACCCACCCAAACCAACTGAATATATTTCTGCTTGAAAATGTTCTACCTCCTTCCCGTTAGCACTGACTGCTCCATCTTCAAATGTCCTTCAAATGTCTCCTTAGGACCTGGAAAATCTAGTCTATGTTTCAGATGCTTTGGGAAAAGCTTTCAAAGTCCAGTTGTCTATTTTATTGCTTCTTAAAAACTTATTTAAATTCATTGATCAATTATTGTATATAATATGTAATTCTGCTGTCAACTCTAGGATTTGTTCATTTTTTCCAATTGAATATTTTATAGCATTTAGGCAAATGAATCTCATCAGGTTTTAGTATGTAGAGCTGCTTTTCTTTCACACTGAAGCAAACTGCTGCACTTTTCATGTAATCCAAGAGTCATATAGTGATAGTTAGAGATTACAAATTGTTCTAATTCACATCCTGTATAAATATGACTATCCTGAGTAAGAAAACATACACTGTTTCTGCTGTGGAGGACACTTTGATCTCACCTTTATGCTAAATGCACTGAGTTCATGTCGTCTCACCAGAGTCAACTGTCTGGTTCAACTGAAGCTGAAGTGACTATCTGCTCATGTTCCAATCATTTTCATTCCAGAACTGGCTATGAAAGCTTTGATATGGGTCAAGCTGACAGGAGATGTCTTTAATAAAATGCAGATGAGCATTCCAAAAATAATAATGAAGACTATCATAAATGATTCCTAATATTTCCTAATCATTCCTTCTTGCTAGTGACTATGCCAAAGGTCCCTTTTACTAAGTTCACTCAATCCTCACAATAAACTCACTTATTACTGGCTAAAAAGGCAGCAGTCTGAAGCAGATCTGAAGTTAACTGATAATAAAATACAGGTAAATACTGGCAAATGACGCATGGGATAGCTTCTATACTGAGAATGTCCACACTGTTCTCTATGTGGCAATTTCTATAGTTACAATTAAATGTAACCCTTTTACTGGTAATTAGTATTTCTATTCATAATTTCATTTTTATTTTTCCTATGTAAATTAATATTGAATAAACTAGATTATAAAGAAAAAAAGGGACAGCCATCAGATGGTCTTCTCTTACAAACTCTTATTCTGTAATGAATTGCTGAAAAAAGCGAGGGCTTCCTGTTCTAATCATCATAGTATAAATTACACAACTTTAAGTATGATGTGAGAGGTTCCACACACCTCACTTCCAGGCTTTTCTCAGCAGGGTCTGGGTAGCTGAGGGACACATAAAGGTGTTTCCCATATTTCTTATCTTATCAACACTTTTCTTCCATATGTATGTGAAGATGTTGAATAAGGACTGTTCAATAAATAAAGGACAGTATTCAAATACACAAGATTTCTCCCATTGTGTGTATTCTCTGGTGCTTCTTCACCTGTAAGAGCCAAGTAAAGGCCTGTCTGCATTCCTTACATTCATAGGGCTTCTCACTGGTATGGATTCTTTGATGTTGGGTTAGATGGGACCTCTACCTAAAGGCCTTGCTGCACTGCTGGCATTGAAAGGGTTTCTCACCAGTGTGGATCCTCTGGTGTAGAATTAGAGTTTTACAATCAATAAAAGCCTTCCCACATTCTTTACATTCATAAGGCCTCTCCCCAGTGTGAATTCTCTGATGTCTATTAAAGTATGAAGGACAAGCGAAGGCCTTCCCACATTCCTTACATTCATATGGTTTTTCACCAGTATGAACTCTCTGGTGTTGGATGAGATGTGCTTTCTGCCTAAAGGCCTTCATACATTCCTGGCACTCATAGGGCTTCTCATTAGTGTGAGTTCTATAGTGTTTCATGAATGCTGAATGACAGAGAAAGGCCTTTTCAAAATAGTTACACTCGTAAGGTTTTTCACCAGTGTGAATTTTCTGGTGATCATTCAAGTTGGAAGCCCAAGTAAAAGTCTTTCCACATAAGTTACACTCATAGGGTTTCTCACCACTGTGGATTCCTTGATGTCTGGTGAGATTTGCACTCTTGTTAAAGGCCTTCTGACATTTGTGACACTCATAAGGCTTCTCATTGGTGTGTGTTCTCTGATGTTGAAAAAAACGTCGAGAAGTAGAGGAAGGCCTTCCCACAATGTTTGCATTCATAGGGCTTCTCATTTGTGTGGACTCTCTGGAGCTGGACAAGCAGGGAGCAGTTAGTGAAGGCTTTCCCACATTCTTTGCACTCACAGGGCTTTTCACCAGTGTGAAAGCGATTATGCTGAACAAGGTAAGCATGCTTTTCAAAGATCTTGCCACAGATCTCACACTGATAGGGCTTCTTATTAATCTGATATGGGGCAAGTTGGAAGTCATATGCAAATCCTCTGCTATACTCCTTCAATTCATCACATTTCTTGCCAGCAAAATCCTGCTGATGCTTCATCTGATCTGTGTAATAGATAAAGGTGTTCTCGTACATTTCATTGTCATTGGTAGGAATTTTTACCTGCTGAGTAATAGTTTCACCTTCTTCCTGTTCATTGTGTTTTGCTTCAGAGTGAGTCATTTCACTTAGAGCAATGGGTGTAGGCTGAATGAATTCAGTTGACATCTTTTCCAATGGGGCTGTCACTCTCTGTAAGTATTCCTCTGTAGATTCTGGTTGTGTCTCAAGTTTCCAATCATTTCCAAAACAGGATTCCTCAAGGCAAGAATTACCAACTCTTTCTATTATTTTCCAATTAAATGATTCCTTTCCAAAGATGCCACTCTCTAGAGATAAATTCTTAGTTTCATTTACAGACAGCAAATCTGGATACCATCCTGCTTGCTCCACCATCCATGGCTCTTTGCCTTGCTCCGGTAGTGAAATTACTGACGGCTTAAAAATGGCAAGTCCCAGTGACACAAAGTTCCCATAGGTCTCCAATATCACATCTCTGTATAAAGATCTCTGGTGAGGGTCCAGGCACTCCCACTCCTCTCTACAGAACTCCACAGCCACATCCCTGAACTCCACCAACTCCTTGAACACAGTGTTGACATCCACAATAGCCATGCTTCTCTGTTCTTCTGGGCATTTTGGAAAAACTGAAGAACTCAAAAGTATAACTGTGACCCCATGGGCTATGAACTCAGAGGACCAGTGAATACCAACCAGGACAGCACCCGGTTAGGTCAGTTAGGGCACTGAGACGATCAGGAACCACCTCTCTCCCAAGAAATTTTTTGAGAAGACTGGTTTTGGTGACATTATTAAGGCCACTCCACGTAGTTCAAAGGGAGATTTATTTAGTGGTGTAACTTACAAATGAAGGGATAGGTAGATTGCAGGGTCTGGAAAAGACGTAGCACAGTCCAGCAGAGTTCTCTAGAGAACTCTGCTCAGTCTACCTCCAGCATCCAGGGTCCAAGAACTAAGTGAGATGGCGCATCCAGATCTTGGGTTTTCAGGGTCCTCTTGGTCCCACCTTGTAAGTGTGACAGTTACCAAAGCCTCAGTGGGGGTTGGAACTTCCAGATAAAGGTTGGAATGGCTACCCACTACAGACTGGCAGCAGGTGCGGATGGGAACACAAGGGATCAAGTAGAGTATGGGAGGGGCAGAGAGTACTGAAAGAGACAACTGGAAAGGGTGTCACTTCAGGATCAGGGAGAAACCTGGTACAGGTAAAACTCCCAGGAATCTACAAGGATGAACCCAGCTAAAACTTCAAGCAAAGGGGAATATGTACTCTGAATTGAACATCTTCTGTGACCAGGTAAGACAACCAATGGAGAGATTGGGACACCAACCCAGCCACATAACCTTTGATGTACAGTCTGTTTGCCTATGGGGTATGCTGGGGTAAGCATGACACAGAGATTGTGGGAGTGGCCAACCAAAGACTGATCCAGCCTGAGACCCATGTTATAGAGGGAGCCCAAATATGACACTGTCTGAAGTGCCAGGACCCAGAGGCTGGATGGTCCAGAGACCGATGATAGAATCAAACACAACTGGAAAAAATGTCAATGAAATGATGCTTCAAGATATTCTGCTATACTCATAGATTGGTGCCTAGCCCAACAGTCATCAGAGGGGCTTCATCCAGAAACTTGGGAAACAGATGAAGAAATCAGAGAATAATTTTGCTGAGCTCAGGATATCCTGTGTAAGATAGGGAGGAAGGATTTTAGGAGCCAGAGGAGCCAAGGACATCACAAGAAAACACAGAGTCCATTAACATGGTCTCATAGGGGCTGACAGAGACAGAACCAACAACCAGAGACCCTGCATGGGACTAACCAAAGCCTTCTGAATATATATTACAATTGTGTAGCTTGGTCTTCTTGTAAGACTCCTAGAAGTGGGAGCAGAGGCTGTCTCTGTCTCTCTTACTGGCTTTTGAGAACTTATTCCTCATACTGCCTTGCCTTATGCAGCTTTAATAATAGGCAAGGTGCTTAGTCTTACTACAACTCGATATGCCATGTTTTGTAGATAGGGGAGGCTTGCACTTTTCTGAAGATAAATATGGGAGGAGTGGAGGAGGGACAGATGGAAGATGAGGGAGTAGGGGGGAGAGACTAGGAGAAGAGGACAGAGGGTGTTGTAAAATGGCACACAGTGGACTTGGATTGTTTGAGCCAAGGTGCCCCATTGTGGGTGAAGGACACATGCCATGAAGATGCAGTGGGCAGCAGCATGGCACAGTAGAAAGTTATTCACACCATGCAGACACAGCATCCATATGGGAAAACATTGAGAGTTGCTGGTAGCAAATCCCATGAGAGTATACAGCAGGTGACAACTAGAGTTCAGAAGGTCAATCTATCAGAACTAAGGGTTCTGTTAGAGGAAACCACCATGCAAAGTGTTATGGAATTACTGCCTTTTGAATGAATTGTTTGTCTCTTGTTTTAAACTTCTTGTGCAATAACAGCTATGATTACCCATTTACCATGTATTTCCATGTTATGTGTACATGTACTCTCATGATTGCATCTCAAACTTATGGACACACATAATTGTTGATAGTCTAGAAGATGGTTTCTTATTTAACTGTACAATTTTTTATGAATAGAAACATTCTAAAATATGATTCATACTTGATCTATTGTTCCATGTGGACTGTAGACACTTAGAGGTCTTGTTCTCCATCCATAGCCACTGACAAAGTAAATATTGGCCAGACAAAGTGTCTTTGTAGAACTTTCACAGATTGGAATTGCAGGTGTCTGGCCTTGTTAGATCAAAACTCTTCAGAAGAATTATAGTGAACCAGAAGTGATAGTGCAGGTATCTGGCCTTGGGATATCTTATTCCTTGAAGAGATCAGTGGCACCTATGTTGCCCTAAGCTTCCTCCACTAGCAACTCCCTGCTCTGATTCAAATAACAATTAAAACTTTGTACATATTTCTACACCCATTTTAATGCAATATTTTAGGCTCAATAGACTAATTATATATAGGTTCTGAGATTCAGGTGACTAACAGAAAAAGGCTGCTAACTGACTAACCATATCTGGATATTATTAGTCACATAAAAATAGTACACATATTCTTTGCCTTTTCCTTACATCTCTCATTTGTTTAATTTCTTTCCTTGTAACCTTTGTAGCTATCCGTTAAAGAGCTAGCCAGAACTTTCTACAACCTACAGCTGTTGTCAATCACCAATTAAGCCAAAGAAGTCTTTGCCAAGTATGACTCTTATCAGAATACTTGTTCCTGAGAGTTTACTTTGTAGTTTTTACTAACAAGTTGTTAATGAATAGATACACACACACACACACACACACACACACACACACACACACACACACACACACATTTGGGTGAACAAAGAAGGAAGAAGAGGGAAAAGACCTAGATATGAAAGAGCAGCATGAAAAGAAGTGATGGAGAAGAACCATCATTAAGAACCATCATTGATGAGTATGGAGATGGAAAGAACTAGAGATGAGAGAATAGCAGAAGAGACTAAGAGCAGGAGGGAATGATAGGAATTAAGTATGAGAACAGAAAAGAAATTGTAGATAGAATTGACTGAGAAGAATAAAGTGAATGGACTAACAAACTCAGTGTGCTTAGATTCACTGAATATCCCTCAGATTAGAATCCTTAGCCACTTATAGCTTCTATTCTAGACCCTGGTAGAAATACCCTCAGGGAAAAATTATTATTAAAGGAGGAGGGGAGAGGGGGGAGAGAGAAAAAAGAGAGGGAAAGAGAGAGGGGAGCAGAAAGAAAACAGAGGTGTATGCAGCCTCATGAAAGGAGACAGAGGGAGATAGGAAGGAAAAGAGAGAGAGAAGGGGGAGGGGTTTTCACTTAAAGGAGACATTACACTCTGGGCAGGTCCCCAAGGGTCAGGTCTGAATAATAACATTCCCTAACAGAGGGAAAATTGTAGTCAGGGTGAGAAAGGAAGGAAGGGAGGGAGAGAGAGAGAGAGAGAGAGAGAGAGAGAGA